GCATGCAGGTGAAAGCTGCGTTTATAGACTATAGTACACACTGTACACACGCATGCTAGCTGCTGACACGTTGACCATGTCTTCCATCGATCTCTGACTCCAAATAACACCGGTATCAATGGGCTAGCCTTATATTAACGTAACTCTCCCAACTTGATTTTCATAGGACAGCAAGCTGCGTTAGACATATACTTCTAACTTCCTATAAAAAATCAACTTCTAATTATAAATAGACATATGTTGCGTTCACATTCGTAACTAGAACAGAGAAGTAGTAGCTAGTACTACCTCCATCTCATTTTAAATGCAGTATGGATTTTCGTGTCCAACATTTGACTGTCGTCTTATTTGAAAAATTTAAATAATACAAAACTGTGATTTTTTTGGAACGAAAGTAGTACTAGTATGTACTCCATCCGTCTCACAATATAAGGGATTTTGAGTTTTTGATTGCAACGTTTGACCACTTGTCTCATTCAAATTTTTTTTTGCAAATATAAAAAATAAAAAGTTGTGCTTAAAGTATTGTAGATAATAAAGTAAGTCACAAATAAAATAAATAATAATTTTAAAATTTTTTGAATAAGACGAGTGGTCAAACGTTGCAAGTAAAAACCTAAAATCCCTTATATTATAGGACAGAGGGAGTACATTGTTTTAGATAAGTTATATTCTATCTTAGATTGCCTTGTTTTGGGACGGAAGGGTATGAACTAATGCTTCATTAATTATGTCTTGTAGGACAAGGTGTCCTAGTGATTAATGAAGGCGTTGGATGCATGTGTATATCATAGTCCTACGAATTTAGATGTGTTTTCTATAGGATTAGGATTTTTAAGGATGCGGAAGTAGATCAATTCTTGTAGGGCACTATAATAATTAAACTGCTTCATGCATGCCTACATGCCTGCATGTTCATGCAAACCATATGGCCGGCCGATGCTAATTATGGGTGCAAATTATCAGCATTTCGTAATCGCGGTTTGCACGTAGATGATGGGAGCCATGAGGTAATTAATGCCTGCATATAGTAGTTTGCATATGACACGGCGCATATACTGCTTGCATGCTTTTCCTGATTCCTCCCTCTCACGGGGAGAAATGGAATATACTCCTACTCTTAAGCATATGTACTTCTTTTTTTGTTTGTAGTTCAGTCAAGACTGCTCGCTCCAGTAGACTGCTGTTGCTGCTGGTGGTAGTACAGCGTCAGTCAGAGATTCTTGTGTGCTTAAGACAAAATCTGCAGCACGAAATAAGGATACCAGTGGTTAGCACCAAATGGGAAATGTTCAGATGGGAGGGTGAATATTTTTTTAGAAAAAAAAACAAAGAGAGGGTGAATTAAATAACCTGGATAAGAGTTTCATTGCATTATGCTTCTAAATGACGGAAAAGTTCAGCTAAAGACCTGCAATTGATACACAACACAAAGATATTACACTTGGACTATATTTGAGAGAAATGGATCAAGAAGATTAATAAGAAGATATGTAAAACGAGATGAACCATTAGCGTATGATTTATTGAGCCTTAAATATTTTAAACTTGAAAATAAATTAATATGATTTTTTAAAACTAGTTTCCTATAAAAAAGTTTTTCCAAAGAAACATCATTTAGCAGTTCAGAATACGTGCGCATAGAAAATGAGTGATTTTCCCTCCTTGTAAACTTCAAACGAACTTTGCCTTAGGTTACTGTGATCGCGGCACTTTACTTTCTCATCTTCTACTCTCTGGTTTTTCGTGCGCACATTTTCTGAATTGCTAAACGGTGTATTATAAAAAAATACAATAAAGTTACTTTGAAAACTATATTAATATATTTTTTAAGTTGAGTTAATTGTACTTTGGGCTATGAATGGTAACCAAAGTTTCAGTTTGGTCAACGGGTGAAGTTATCTTTGACTTTGGACTAAAAGTTCCATATTAGACCATTCTTCTTCTCCATCTCTCATCTTCCCTCTTTTTCTTTGTTAAGCAGCTGTCGTGGAACTGATGAAGCAAAACACTGAGATCCCTTCTCTCTCTGCTATGTTCCCGAGCTGAACCAGCAAAATCAAGCCTCTTGGTAGCTGGCTGTTGTAGCTGTCGGTTGTCGCCTGCATGCTCATGAATCACAGTCGATCGAATTGTTCTAAGCTAACATGATTTTTAAAGGGAAAAAGTAGAAGTTACGCAGTTAAATCAAGGAGTAATAAAATCAGTCAGATGAAATATTGATTGGTGTATTGTGTTGCTGGTAAGCTGAAGCTCACTAATGAAATCAAAAAGTGGTAAACAACAACATTGAGTTAACACAGCCTTAACTTTGGTCGGTTTATATGCGCCCGAATTGTCGAACTTACTAGTTCGCTCCTTTATTGAATCTACTAATCAGTCAAACCTAGTTTCTTCTGAGAATTAATCCTGAGCCTGGTTTACAAATCCGTTGCATGTTTCGAAGCTGCCCCATGTTTTGGTCTAGATGATTGGGATTTTATATGCGATAGCTGCAGCTGGTAGCTAGCTAGCTAGCTAGACAACAGATCACCGAATGGCTAAAAGTAAGAGATTTACAGAACAGAGCACTGGATTCCTTAAGTGTGTGAGAGAGATGATCAGGTACTGAACTTGTTCATAATTTACAGTGGACATGCATGGATTATTGCGACCACTCTAGGCTACAAAAAATGACTACTTGACGTATACATAATGAGCAAATGGAACTACATAATTGTGTACCTTCTATTACGTACAGAACATAACATTGGTTTAACACCCAACATGATCAGTTTTATGCATGTACACCTGAACAGTAATAACATAGCTGCAATAATCTATGAACCCAACATTGTTTAGACGATGGAATAAACAAAGAACACAACATATATGACAAGGAGGCATATTGAAATATATATATGTCTACTACTACTTGACATAGATTAGATTAAGGGCAAAAACTATTTTGATGAAGAAATACAATATTCCCTTCTTCCTATAATATAAAATGCACACATATGTTAAGATTTTACTTTTAAAATATTTAACCAATAATTAGTATAATATAAATTAAATTTTATTTGCTGAAAATAATATCACTGGATTAACATTTGAATTTACTTTCATACGACTATAACATTGTTGGTACAAATTAACATTATAAGCCAGATATTAGTGTTGAAAATTGTGTTAAGTTTGATTTATCATACCTTATGTTATAAGATACATTATATTGTACAGATACACCAACAAATTAACTAAACAGAGACAATATAGTTGGCTGAATATATTGTTACTGAAAAGGATCCACACATTAATTCAGGCAACCATCCACACACTTATGCTGTGTCAAAACATGCCCTGCACATGCTCAACCCTCCCATATGCATGGAGAAACTCTGGATCCTACCAGCACGCATGCGCGTAGTAATGGTTCAACATCACCACGCATGTGTATGGTGTATGATACTTCCTCCGTTTCACAATGTAAGTCATTCTAACATTACCCACATTTATATAGATGTTAATGAATCTAGTTACACATATATGTCTAGATTCATTAACATCAATATGAATGGAGGAAATGCTAGAATGACTTACATTGTGAAATGGAGGGAGTAAGAGTGATTTAAATTGTGGCTGCGTCCAAATTATACTCTTCAAAAAACAACTCTAACCATCTCTTCAAAAGACAACTCTAACTAGGGGCGGAGACAGGAGTAGAGCAGCTAGGTCTGCAGCCATACTCCTGATCCTAAATATGCATTGAAATTCTATTTTAAAACTTCAAAAACTAGAAGATAAAGATAAAATTATATAAATTCAAGTAATTGAGCCCTATGCTTAAAAAAATTCTGGCTGCACCACTCCCTCTAACCATCGTCATAACATAGAAAAATCCGGCTTGTATAGGACATTTACTAGCATGATAATTTAAAGCCATAAACAAATTTGTGCCCCGTGTTTTTCTCAGCCTAAACTTTCCAGGAATCAGACACGTTGGTCGGAGCACACAATCTAGAAAAGCACGTATCAGAACGGTCTTAATCTCACAGTCAGCAACTAGCTAGCCTCCAAATTAATGACGGCTGTCAGGGCAGGCAGATCCCAGCTTAATTTGCTCCAATAATGTCAAATTATTAATTGTACCAAGTGTAATTAACCAGTAGTTACCGAGTAACTACCAATCCCATTTTATATGCTTACAAGCAACTATAGACACGCCTAAATCAAAACGGTTGACGGACTTGACCATGATCTTGCCTCCTGCTGCTGAACCGACCGACCAGGCAAGAGGAGAAAATAATACTAGTAATAAAAACAAAAACAAATACAACCCCTGATGTAGACGTGAGAATTTCTTTGGGCCAGTCCAACGATTTAATTTGGTCTACCTACAACTAACCCCCTTTAAACATAACTAACCCCCTTTAAACATATTGCATTATATAGGTGTTTTACCCCCCCTCTATTTAATTTTCTTCCCTTAAAATGATATTACAGTACCATGGTTATATACGATGTGTCAAAAAATTATATATGACGACAACGTGCCAAACCTTTATACAACCAAATCAAATAATATCTTAGGTTTTACGAGATGTACTCGGAACATGGTTATACTATATCTACAAATCATAATATCATGGTATTAAAATAGTTTCCCATATAAGTACCTACGGATTATATAATATTTATATCCTAACAATCTACAAGTATGACCGAACTAGCATGAACGAATTAGTTCTAGGCCTCTATTCCCTTTATCCCATAAAAAGTAACCTAGAAAAGATGAAATGTTTTCAGATTTTTGTTTAGATTTTTAATTTTACTACGGAATATTCTATCTTATTTTAGATTAATTTTTTATGGTACAGACAAAGGACTCCTCTAGCTAGCTAGTATGACATGCATGATTGGTTGCCACTATCGATCGATCAGTCTCCGTTACAAATGGCAACAAACAACCGCCCGCGGGATACCGGTGGCATCGGTCACCTTCGCCTCCTATAAGTACCCACGCTTCGCCTCTCCACCTCGCCGCGCACCGAAACAAAACCGCCACGCCCACGCGCGCTCCGGCCACCACCACCGCTAGTGGCGCGCGCGGCTCGAGTGGTAGTAGCTAGCTTAGTCCAGCCAGGCGGCGGCGGCGGCGGCGCGGCGCGTGCCATGACGAACCAGGACGTGGTGATGCCGGACATCGCGGCGGCCGCGGCCATGCCGGGGTCATCCGGCCGCGCGCCGCTCTTCGCGTGCCGTGGCGCCGCGGCCGTGTCGGCGTCCTCCATGCTCGGCGGCGGCGGCGCGGCGTACCAGGCCGCGGTGGTGGCGCACGTGGCGCCGGTGCCAGCTATCAGGCCGTGCGCCAGCTGGGTCGTCGAGGCCATGCGCGCGTCGTCGCCGACACGGCCCGCCGCCGCCGCGGTCGACGCCGAGTACGACGCGTGGACGGTGAGTCGTCGCTCGCGCTCCTCTGGTTGTGTGTGCCTAGCTAGCGTTGTGATCGAGCTCGAGCCGCGTCGTCGTTTGTACGCAGCAGAGGAAGCACCCGTCGGCGCTGGGCAGCTTCGAGCAGGTGGCCGCGGCGGCGAGCGGGAAGCGCGTCGTCGTGTTCCTCGACTACGACGGCACCCTCTCCCCCATCGTCGCCGACCCCGACATGGCCTTCATGTCCGACGAGGTCAATACTAACAATCCACTGCACCACGATCACCAACCGATCGAACACCATGCGCGACGGACGCTGACATCTCCTTTCTCTTCAGATGAGGGCGGCCGTGCGCGACGTGGCGGAGCACTTCCCGGCGGCGATCGTGACCGGGCGCTGCGTCGACAAGGTGCAGAGCTTCGTCGGCCTCCCGGAGCTCTACTACGCCGGCAGCCATGGCATGGACATCAAGGGCCCCAGCTCCAACGTACGTCAGCAGCTGTCGCACTCTTATCGCTTCATCCACACAACAACTTACCCAAATCGCCATCACCACCACATTCGCAATCATTGCTTCTTCTGCTTGCTTCACACTCCATTGTTATTCTTGTACTTACTAGCTGCTACTCCTCCCATTCTCCAGGAGGAAGAAGACACCAAGATCCTCTTGCAGCCAGCTCGCGAGTTCCTCCCGGTGATCAACAAGGTGATTAACTAACTAATCAACTAATTAGACATGCTAATCAACTAACTAATCAACATGTCTTAGCTGTAATAATTCTTAGTTAGTTGAGCCATGAGGAACTTACCAGCTACGAATTTTTTTTCACTTATTTTTGTAACAAAAAAAAATGACAGGCTTACAAGGCTTTGATGGAGAAGACGAAGAGCACGCCTGGGGCCAGAGTGGAGAACAACAAGTTCTGCCTCTCCGTGCACTTCAGATGCGTCGATGAGAAGGTAATTAGTAATTGATTAATTAATCAATCCAGTTCTTGCATTACAATATAATTAATCGATCTTGGTTAGTTTCGAGATCAAACTATAATTAATCAGCCAGTGTTCTTGCAGAGATGGAATCCGTTGGCAGAGCAAGTGAAGGCCGTGCTCCGGGACTACCCCGAGCTCAAACTCACCCAAGGAAGAAAGGTGATTAATTGATGCATATCAACCAAATTAATCAACGGCGAGCTCGATACTCTGACGACGACGATGGCTAACGACGATGAACTTGATCACGCAGGTCCTGGAGATCCGGCCGTCGATCATGTGGGACAAGGGCAAGGCGGTGGAGTTCTTGCTGAAATCTCTCGGTAAGATCAATCAATTTCTTTCTCCGTCGTCTTCCTCCTCTCGCCGCCAGTGAAAAAACATCTTCTCCTTCTGATCGCTCACGGGTTGTCCGCTTGCTGTTCGTTCCATCTCTCGTAGGATTCGACGACGACCGCCGCGACGTCCTGCCGGTGTACATCGGAGACGACCGGACCGACGAAGATGCTTTCAAGGTGAAAAATATATACATGTTTAATTTCACGTACATGCAGCTGGTGATTTCGACTGTTTTTGTTCGTTTCAAAAGTATAAATTTGGGTTTTTTTTTGGGTTAATTAATTATTAGGTGTTGAGAAAGAGAGGTCAAGGGTTGGGAATTCTTGTCTCCAAGTGTGCCAAGGAGACTGACGCCTCGTACTCTCTCCAGGACCCAGCAGAGGTACACATGGTCTTTGATATATAACTATATGAGTTCTACTCCGGTGCTTTCTACTTATAGTAGAAAATAATCTGAACCACTAATCTCATTTGATCAAAGGGTTTAGATCAATTTCTACTACCACCTTATTTAATGGTAGTAGAATCGTGGATGGCTATTATTGTCCAAGAACAAATATTAGTGGAGGGGTATAATCATCATTTACAATCACTGGCCCTAGCCGTACTCAACTCAATCTTTCCTCACGTCGGCCAAAGAGAATCGCATAACTCCCCCAAATTGCATCCGGAGACGACGCCGAGTATCTCCTCCCTGCCGCCGCCTCCGCCACTCGATAGAAGTACACCAACGCCGGGGCGCACGTGTTCGTGACGATGCTCCTGACCGTGGTGTTCACGGCAGCTGTGGCGTTGGCTCTTGTCAACGCCGTCAACTCGCATGACTTCGCAGCACACCTCGCCGGCGTGGACTGCCGCATGGGGCTAGCTGGTCCAGTACGATGCCCAGCCTCGGGCTTCGTGGAGCTCCTCGTGCTGGCGCTACATGTGGTTAGATGCGTGCTCGCCATCTTAGATCGCCTGCATGCCTGCCTAATGTCGCCCTCGCTACAGCTTTCGATTGCATCTCCATGTACGTGCGCCGGTGGCAGCGCGGCGAAGTGACCAATGTACATGAAGTATACGTGCTAAGTAGGATCGAATTTGTTCCTTATATGGTGAACACTAACAGAAAACCTTTCTCCTTGTTCGTTCAGCAAAGTTGCAGATAAAAATGTCAAACAGAATTATTTTCTTATTGCTTCAAGTCACATTAAGGCTTGTTTTAGTTCCTAACTTTTTCTTCATACTTCCAACTTTTTCATCACATCAAAACTTTCCCCCACACACAAACTTCCAACTTTTCCGTCACATCGTTTCAATTTTAATCAAACTTCCAATTTTAGCGTGAACTAAACACACCCTAAGCATACTATTGCTACTGCTACTGCTACTGCTCAAGTTCAGACTTCAGACTTCAAAAAGGCCCCACCAATTCATGAGCTCATAGAGGCTCTGTTTAGTTCACACCAAAATTAGAAGTTTGGTTGAAATTGGAACTATGTGACGGAAAAGTTGAAAGTTTGTGTGTATAGAAAAGTTTTAATGTAATAGAAAAGTTGGAAGTTTCAAGTAAAAGTTAGGAACTAAACACGGCGAAAATCTGATTTGGACCAGCATGTTGATTTAACAACCAGAAAAAAAAATTGGACATGGGCACACCTGTTGCCTCGAACAATATTTTTGCAGCATTAGAACTAGTACATATAAGTTATTTTTGCAGCATTAGAACTAGTATATATAAGTTATACAGTCCAGGATGCACTTAATGAATACAGATAGAAAAGGATTACAGGCAAGACTCTGACTAGAAGCTGCAAAAACATCTAAACAGGCAAGCACCGGTGAACAAAGAAGTACTGGCGAGACGGCCGTCGGCGCCGCCGCCGCCGGAATGTATCGGATGGTGCCCTTGCACGCGGCAAAATGGGGAGACAAATGGAGAATGAGTGGGGAAAGAATGGCCGCCGGAGTAGACTGCCGGCGGCGCGAGGATTTGCCGAGCAGTGGAGATGGCTACCGTCAGGAGGAGATCGACGGTGGTGGGAGGATTTGCCGCAGCGAATGGAAGCGTCGTCCAGTCGCCGAGTGCCTAGCGAGATGAATAGATAAAATCCCAAATACCACCATTACCCCTAATCACTAAGTAGTAATGTACTAATATGCCCTTGTGAACCGACGATTCAGATCAATTCTACTTGTAGTATAATACTACAAGTAGAAAGCACCGGAGCGTCGCTCTAACTATATATATATGTAAACATCCAGCATGACATGTTCAAATTAGTTTTTTTTTACATTAGTTAAGTAAACAATAACATTCATGTTCAAATCAGTCATGGCGTCATTTTGGCGATGGCGATGTGCGCGAGAAAATGCTAACAAATTGAGCTGTAAATTTCTCTAAAATTTCCAGGTCATGGAGTTCCTTGTTCGATTGGTGCAGTGGAAGCTTCGGCGATCATCGTCAGCGATGCGCCCGAGGGTTTAATTAGTACACTGACGACGGATCATATATACTATATGACAGTCTTCCCTGCTAAGCTAGCTCTGACTTCTGAAGAAGTTTGAGCATGTTTAATGAGTCAATCAGTTAGTTAATTAGTAACTAATTAACTAATCAACTAGTCATTGTACCATCAATAACCCTCTATCATGTCGACCCCTAGGAATATGTACTATTTGTAATTAAGCTGTGCAAATTAAGCTGCAGCGTAACCACTCTTTAGTCCTTTACTCAAGAATGTGTATAAATCCCCTGTATGACTAGCAGGGCCTGTCACTCCTGTAAAATGTAAGATAATTAAGAATCTTAATATAGCTAGTGATCAATTCGTTAACTCAATATTAAATGGGTGCCAGTTTCTTCCTGTAACTTGTATGCATATATGTGTGCATTCTGTTTAGATATATTACATGCATATATGTAAGGTACGGATGCAAATCATCTATAATACTCTTAATGCAATAGCAGTGGTTGATATATGAGTCCGAACCTGCACTCGAGTATCTGCTACTAGACTAACAACATTAATAAGGTACACCTCCTAAACAGGAGGCACAATGTGGATGTACTTGCCACATTCTGCCCCAGCAAGATTCGTTGGTAGGTATACCTGATGAGACCATAGCAAAAGCTGGCGATTTCTTTGGATAACTCATGTGATCTTGGATTCCTGCGTCGAAGCCCTAATTTACTGGTAACTAGGAAGAAAGCCCGCGCGTGCGCAATTTATTTACTGTTTATAAAAAGAATACTAAAAGAAGCCCTATCTCACCATATTCATTATAAGACCAACTTTTGGGTTTGAATATGGACACCCATTTCTGGGTTTGAATATAGAAGAAGTGGGTTTGTTTTTGGGACAGATGGAGTAGACCATAGATGTTAACAGCCGACATACTAAATGATAGTCTTAAAATATGGATGTCATTTTAATAGATAGAATTATGTCATTAATAAAAAAAGTTCATCTCTACTTCATACCCATGTCTTACATGTATCCAAATCTATATATAAATATTTAAAAATACTGCTTCTACCAATTAATAAGAAAAAATCATATATGAATGCCCCTTCTAAAAGCTGGGTGAAGCCGATTGTAGCCGCTAAGGCTTTTTCCTTCGATGCCTTGACTCATGGTCCCGCATTGATTTAGTCGTGCTCCTCAAGAAAAGTGTGGAGTATAATTTCGTAAAGGATTGTATTCGTAAATAGGTCAGATGAGCTCTATTGTCAACAATAACCTTTTACTCGGACCACCTCAACTCAACAATGCGTACTCCTGCCATAGTTATTTCAACGTAGCCAGTTGAGATCCATGTTTGTTGCCCTTTTGGGTATGAGTGAAAGAAAATGGAGGTGATGAAAATAGTTTTTCTAATGTCTTGAGTCGATTTATTGTATAGAGTAGATATAATATAATTTGTTTATGGTGTTAATCGATAGTACAAATATAATTTTCTCTTTTAAAAGTTAGCAGAGTTGATAATTAGACTCTACTTAAAAAAAACTAATAGATTCTGTGGCGAGGACCACGTAAAAAATATTAACATAATTGTGATCCTTTGCTAACATACGAGTTAATATGGGTTTTGATTTTTTTTTTCTTGTTTATACATTTATTCACCTATGCTTTGTTCACGGTGATTAATATTCGATGGAATTTATCAAAACTATTTGTGCTAATTGTTAACATAATTTGGATGAGAACGACGTTCAGAAAGGGGATATAATGTAGTTAAGTGTATGTTTTTTTTTTGAATAGTAGTCTCTCGTAGAGATTTTGTTTTTTCTTTTTCTTTTAATGAATATTTGTCTATCATAGTGACAGGGTGTACGTATGTGTATTCATAGTATGTGTACTCATGCATTTATATGAGCTTATGAAATTGCCTTTTACATCGGTGAGCAACGGGTCGCGTGAGGCGGTGCCATGGCGTGGCTTCTTTTACTTCCTCGCTAGGAGTGGTTGCTATGCATATTGTCACGCCCCGAACTAGTCCCGAGCGGAACTAGCCCGTGACGCTTCAAATTAACCTGTTAATCGATACCAGTCCCAGGAAACAGTGCTAGTATCACAGGAAGACAGAATATCACAGCAACAGAGGTCTCTTTATTATAGAGTAGGAGTACAATCATGTTGGGCTGCGGACAGATCCCGAGCTCACAACTGCATTACAAAAGAGAAGCGGAAGCCAAGACTTGGACCAAACATCACAGGCGCGACTTGGGAACTAGGCCGAAACCCTAAAACTCATCGTAGCCGGCTTGCTCCTGGAAGAACTCCTCGTCAGCGGGATCCGCTTCATCTTCTTCAGCAACTAGGGGGGGATTATTTATATAGAGCAAGGGTGAGTACGGGAGTACTCAGCAAGCCATGGGAAATAAGTGTTTAATGCAGGCTTCAAAGAAAGGCTGTTGTTTTTGCAATTGATTTTAGTTGAACTCTTTTCTGAAACAACTAAGTGAGTGCTTCTCAAACGACATGGATGAGACAGTGCGTCTCGTCCGGTCGGAGTATGTGCAATGTATCAGTCTTTTGAATTGATCAAGATTGGCACCCGGCCAACAGCTTTCAAACGGCCACCCGGGCCTGGCTTATCCCATCAGCCGCAGATTTTCCAAACATCAAACCCATTCCACAACAGCAAATTTCACAAGGCAGTAGTCAAACAAAACTACGCTAGGAATCACCTCACATCCGCCCATGACCGTGGGCACGGCTGTTCGAACAATTTTAATAACCTCTGCAGAGGGGGTACACTTTACCCACACGACATTACTAACCCGGATCATCCAGCCCGTGCAGAACGGCCACGACTAGAGACCTTAAGGCTTTCATGACAAGGCATTTCGAAAGCCGACACAGGTTCACCATATGCCAACGAGAGGGGTCCCAGACCAACACCAGATTAGATCCCAGACCATACTGTGCCAGGAAGCCCAGGGGTCCTCCCCGACACCACCCAGGCGAATCCACATGTCTCTTAGCATCATGGCTCCCCCGATAAGCTAGTTACTCAGCCAGGGGTGTCCCATTCCACCCATGTGGTCGTACTTGTCATGTGTTCGGATGAAATTCCAAGGAAACGGTCCTTAAGTGCAAGAGCGGGAAACCGTACACCCGGTACGTTCCCCGGTCCGCGATTTTGGAAATTCATTTAGTTCGCAAGCACCGACCCAGGTGTCGGGTTTTCCAAGTCTTTTGTAAAACCCAAGTTTTACCCAAGATGTTTCTCAGATTTTAAGTTTGAAGGCGACCGTCGATACCCGTGCAGAGTGCACGATTACCGAGGCGCAACTAGGTGGGTACAAGGGAACATGGTATAACAATAACAATGGAAGGGTCAAATGCAACAAATTAGGTAGGTCCGCCAATCTGCCTTGCAGACGGGACAAACAGATTAAGTGCGATCCTATCAATGCATAATATTTTTCAAGCAACATAATTAAGTTCAAATATAGGCTCAAGATGTTCAAAGGTGGCTTGCCTCGCTCGAGATCTTGAGCTTGATCCTCGAAATCCTCGCACTGCGGGTCTTCGGGCTCCGAAACTACACGCGAAACGGGACAACTCAGCAAACGGCGAAAATAAAGCCCTATTATTGACCTCTAAGCATGCCATTAGATAGA